TCTATCTATCTATCTATCTATCTATCTATCTATCTATCTATCTATCTGTTCTGTTTTTATGTTTCTTATAATCTGGTAACACGGTCTACCTCAAAGGATATTATAAACAGATAATGATAATAATAGATAATGAGGTTCTGAAATCATAGAAATAACCATTATAAGTGGCAAACTGATAAATGTCATTCCTATCATCTTGGAGGAGGCAAATTACAGTCTCTATGATCATGTTAATGAGGATAACTAGTGAATAAGCCACTTAATCCAGCAATTTATTCAAGTACAATCCGAAGTACAAATTCAATCAAGAATGTAGTGGCATATGCAGTGTTTATGTATGCAAATCCTATCCCAGGCTATATGCTTATAGTAATGACATGGTAGGGCGGCTTTGTCGCACTGGGAACTGAAAGAGTGTGTAATTACAATAGTACTCCCCTGTCTAATGGGCCACAGGGATGGGGGACTATGCTGGCCAGTGGTAGCTCACTTACTGATGCGCACAACACATCAGCAGTCCCCACCTAGGTCCATGACTATGTGCTGGGTGTTTTGACTGTTCCTGATTACAAGATTAGTTAAGGAAATAATACATAAAAATGTCAAGGATGTGAGGAGCAGGAAAGGTCTATGTAAATCATACTAATCATGCTAATCATTACTAATAAGTGGCATGGAAAATGACCAGAGCTAGAAATGTTTTTCCAAAATACCAGCTGCCTTCACCGTAGACCAGAGCTGACCAAGAGGAAGACTACTGAAAACTCCATCCAGGTAGTATTTATACTTTAAGTTTAGGCAATAGTCTGTCACAGCCTATCACAGTCATTGGGCAGTAGGTGGGATGTACTGGGGATACTATTACGGGGTCACCCCTTGCCATGACACCAAGGGTCATTTTAACGAAGTAAAGAAGAAACTAAGCAGTTTGTTTTTCCAGCCGAGACCAGGATGTTTAAATTTAAAAAATAACTTGGTCCAACCAAAATCAAGAATTTCGAAACTGAAACATTACACCCAGATAATGAAATTGAATTCCCAATCAGACCTACGTGCACAATCAACCTGCAGTGCTACTGCTACGTCTGTTGGTCAGGTAGACCTTAGTCAGATGGTGGTGCACTTTTTTGTGTTTTTCATGTAACTACATGGCTACAGGACCTGATCCCTGATGCTTCAGTGCCACCAAAGGAGCCATTCCCTTCTCCCACCTGGGGCCGGTCACACCTGGTTTCACCACTTGGTGAGTGGTGCGCATCTAACAACTTGACCCTAAACCTCACCAGGACAAAAGAATGTATCCTGGACTTCCACCCTCGGAACACCCTAAACCTCCCAGCCGTGTTAAATTTGGTACCCTGCAGCCTGGTTGAGACCATGAGTACCACTTGTGGTCTAACCTCTCACACAAACACAGAATCAGCATCCACGATAAGCCCAACTGACCTGGCAGAAGTCGAACTCTCCAGTAGATACGAAGGCAACGCTCCTCCTTGCGGAAACCACGCTGGCACTTACAGACCATCAGAGAGGGGTATTTGGCCAACAGGGCGTCCTGTCTTTCCAGGCACTCAGATGCCTGCTCTCCCAGAGGAGAGACAGCTGCATCGGCCGCGCACAGCTCCAAGCCCCGATACAGTGCCTGGCATTCAGGGTCAGCCGAACACAGGCGATGAGCCTGTATGCAGTCAGTGGCCAACACAGGGAAGGGAAACATCGCCGCCGAGTCCGGCAACACACCTGAGAGCAGACAAAAAAAGAGAATGAAGAGGAATCTGGAAGCAGAAATGGGGGAAAGGTGAATGTATTCTGTATGACATTATAGAAAATAGCTGTAATTCTTCAACTTCGTGACGCGTGGAAGTATCTTTATCTTAGTACAGAACAAACGGCACAAAAGCACAAAACGGGTCAACGCAACAACAACAAACACTTCTCAGTATGACACAGAAGCACACAATGCATTTAACTCTCACTAAGACTTTTAATGAAGAAGATAGTGTGTTACAATTCTGTAGTTGTGTGAATCTTATTTTCATAGTCCCCTATGGAGCAACAGCCTGCTGCAGCCCTTTGATCTTGGTACCACACTAACAACTTCGAGGAGCCCAGGGAACCACTATTCAGTGCACAGATCACAAAGCCATTTCACTGTCACTAAATGGTCCACAACAACATGGCCCCTTCCTAACAGCGACTCTTTTATCCATTCACAGATGTTTCTGCTCTCTACTCTCTAAACTAACCCTAACCCATCATGGGGTCAGTGTCCTCAGCTTTGTTTGAGTGTTTTACAGCATGGAAACTGGAGTTATTTTCTATAATCTGTTTGCGTCCTATGGAATAGTTAGATGGAATAGTCCATAGAGAAGTGGTTTGTATCGTGCAGGTAATGAGCACTGGCGGTATCCGCGTCTCAGGACTCTCAAACTGGTTGTCAAAGGTCAGCACCGACAAGATGGTCTGTCATCAGGAATTTACCTAATTTATCCCACGAGGGAACCCAGCCAATTACCCTGAGGTAAATGGAATTAGCTGCAAAATCACACCAGTTCAAAGCGCCGCCGTAACGAGATCTTTATGTCTAATCTTATTTTTGAGTGCTGCACTCAAAGTAAGGATTGAAATCACATAATACCTGTACTTTACTGTTGAAAATACATTTTATAAACTGAAGGGGTTAATACGTTTTTTTTATTTAGACATGGAAAAATCAAATAAACTGGGAATTTAAAAAATTTGCCTGAAAGAAACAGAAATGACGTGTGCTGTATAGTCAGTGCATCAGTGATAACCATGGACAGTTTTAAAGATTCTGAATGATAGACGAAAATGTGATACTTAATTATATTAATTTATTAAAAGAACTGTATGTTTTAAGTGCCTCGTAAAAAAATGCATATCTATTTATCTTATTTGCATATGTATATATACTGTATGTATATGTGATGTATGTATATATCTATATATATATATATAAAACACGCAATAGTTTTGACCTCGAAGCAGGTCAAAACATTCTCACGTTTTGGGAACTAGGAAGACAGGTCTCTTCCTCTCATCTTTGACTGAGAAACATCCTGTTTCCACTCCCTTGTCAACGCTTCACATCTCCTCTGTTTTATTCCCTGTTTGTAGCAAACTACAGTCAACGGCTTCAGCAACAACTCCAACAACTTCCTGAGAGATGTTTCTTGAGTCTTCATTTCTGTTTTATTGATACTTTTTGTAATGTCTAAAACTCAAAGTCTCTCCAAGAGCAGTTGTTGTATTTAGTTCTGTTTTTTTTTTCTAGAGAAGTTGCTTCGATTAGCAAAGGTGAGAAAGGAAAGCGTCCTCTCTAAAATCCAATAGCTGATGTGTGCAATGGAAGTTTGGAGAAGTTGTCTGAGGACAGAACAAATGTCATTTTGAGAGGGGAAAATAGGAACCAGAAAGACAGATGGGGAAAGGGAGAGCTGGGAGTGCAGGGAGAGCGAAAGAAAGAAAGAAAGAAAGGCGGGGACGGAAAGCTGGAGCACCAGTGTGAACCTTGATAGGTTGGACGAGCGCACAGTGTGAAGCACAATCAGCATGCAGCACCGAAAATGATGTTCTTAGAATCCCACAAAGATGTGCACGTATGCACACACAAGCGCAAGAAAAACACTGTCATCACACACACACACACACACACACACACACACATTGTTACCCCAAGAAGGACCTTTTTATGTGTGTGTCCTGCTGGGAGGGAGACTGGGAAGCACAGAACCCATCATTATTACCAGAACACAATACTGCACAACCACAGAGGAGGGGGCAGTGGGGGCAGAGTAATCTCTTCAATACAAACCCACACACACACTTGCACACACACACACACACACACACACACACACATCTCGGTGTCAGAATAAAGTGGCTGAGAGAGCATAAACAGCTTAACATTCAGTGCCGGATCAGTAGACAGTATGTAAATTGAATACTGAGTGTGCCGATGAAAGACTAACCACATACATAAAACATTGTAGGTCGAACAAACAGCCTTTGTGCGGTACTGCATCCTGACACTCTGCCACAACTCACTTTGCGGGGACATAGTGCCCAGCCAGTGACTCTGACCGGAGGATCCTGCCAGAATTACATCATCAGGCTTCTACAAAACAGTCCCTAATTTCTACTGGTGCTGGAAAAGAAGCCCAGTATTCTCTGTCGCGTTTTCTTCTGATTGTGCACTTAGTTCTGAGAGTAAATACAACAGCCAGGAAACATGGCACCGAATAGCTTCTAGCCTTTCCAGGCAAAAGGAATCAGATAGAATCATTTTCATGTTTCCAATCCATTGTTTTATTGTTGCATTGAACACATCGGTGAATTGTGTGACACATACTACACAAAGAAAATTCTTCGTCTTCACAAAGTACAGAAAACCTCTTGATGGGTAACTTTGGGTTCCTCCTTTTGGTTTAATTTCCTGGCCTTGTCATAAGGCAGAAGGGGAAATTGAATGTGAGAACATCACTGGCGTCTGATTTTTGTTTTATTTTGAAAACCGTGTAGTTCAAATTCCTTGTCTTGATTCCCCGCGTTTCCTCGAAAGAGTTATTATCCTTTTGTATTTTCATAGTCTTTTTGTCCTCGATAGAGTGAGTCGTATTTTGTACTTTCTTAGCCTTTTTCCTGGCCCCGCAAGAACGACTATTGTTTATTACTTTCCTCATTTGAGAGATTATTATTTTATTGCCTGGCAATTCCACTCCAATAGAGTGTGACCTTTTGTTTAATAAAGTCCTCGCTTCTGCCAAGCTCTGCATCTGAGTCTTGTCTTGAGCCCGTCCTGACAAGAAGGACCTTAAAGTTTCTCCTCAAAAGAGCTCTCTCTGTCTATTCACGGGGGATGGAGCAGGTTTCAGTACACTGGGAAACCTTACTGATTCTATATCACAACCCAGAAAAATTCCTGTTTCAGTACCTACTCTTTTCTAAACAACCTTACTGAGCATAGAGTCAGGGTCCGATCATGTGAGTCTGATGACCACAAAATAAGAAGCTAAGATATGGATCATTCTTGGAGGTTCATCTGTTAGGCACCCAGACGAAAACCATTGGAAACCATTGGAAAGGCAATAGGTCACTTCCATCCAGTGGCACTATCAAAAAGTACTGAAAAACTGTTCAATTTGTTACTTCTATTAAAAAATTTTCTTAGATTTTTCAAATTTGATAAATCCACTTGACCACTTAAGAATCACTAAAGCCCTTATATTCTATATAAAGATGATCACATCTTTGGCTTGGGGTCTAACTCAACAGACTTAAAACTTAAAGAAGTTAACATACGTAATTCCAACAGAGCAGCAATCGGAAACCTCCCAAAAATAAGAATGTGTTGTGGGAAGACGCCCCCGGAAAACAGGAACAAGAGGGGTTCCTGTTACCCCCCTGACCCCTCGATTACTGGTCACCAGTTCACAAAAGTAGATGTAATTTCTATGAAGCAACATGTGTATAAACTAAAAAGATCCAGAAAACAAGCCCTTGCTTTAGCTAGCTGTTTGGAAAATGAACCTTTCCCTTTATGGCTGAGTGGAAGCCGGTGGAACGAACGAACCGGCACCAGTGGAAAGAAAAGAGGTTTCACTTGAAATCAGCTAATTCTGGGAACAAACATCTAACAGAGAACCAAAAGATGCATGAAGCTGAGACTTGCTACCAAGGGCTTACCACCTAAACATCACAGTGAATCTGCAAAAAGTTACAAATTTGGTCGGGATTACAACTACTTCCTTATTTTTATCATAGGGACTGATGAAGGAATTCATGACAACAGTACCCAGCTATTATCCTGTGGTAAAATAGAGAGATATTACAACTGAAAACGTTGCTCATGGCAGGCGGCAGCTTAGGCAGCAGCTTGGTCTAAAGTCCTAATTCACTTCAGCATCAGTAAATCATTAACGCAATAATGGTGAACGCCGGTGATAGAATTACCATGAAAACACTGAAACAGCTGTTCCTGGCCTTCACAGGCGGCGGCCACGGGCTAGGATCAAACATGGAGGCTTTCTGATTAGTTTAGAGTGCTGAGTATGAGTGCAGTTAATCCACAAATAGATCCCACTTCTCTTGTTGGAGTGTGTTCTCCCCACTAGGCCTGTACACTTCTTAAACAATATATTTGCTGCAAATGTATAGTCATATTAAAAAAGCAATTGTCTTTTTATCATTAGGTAATCTTCTGGTCCTAACATGAAGTAAAAGCAACCCCCTTTTGAGGTCAGGCTTCCCTGACTCTTTTGTTTTTTAGGCATTCTGTTGGAGCTTGGCCACGTTGCTGTGTTTGAAATCATTGTCCTGTTGCTGAACCAGTTTCAGACAAGTTTTAGTTTGGGGACAGATGGACTCACATTAGACTCTGAGTACTTTGGTATCCAGAAGAGTTCGTGGTGGACTCCCAAGTCCGGATGCTGTAGAACCAGCTGGTGTGAGGTGTGCTGACATACTGGTTTCTCCAAATGTGCATTTTAACATTATAGAAATTGTCCTGCAGAAACATGAATGCCTTTATAGACTGCGATATCATTTGTCTAATAAAGACTAATAATGATAACTGAAAGCACATAGCAGCACAGTGGTGTGGTGGTCAGGACCATCTCCTCACAAACAGAAGGTCCTGGGTTCGAGTCCCCGTTTGGAGTATGCATGTTCTCCCTGCGCCTGTGTGGGTTCTCTGGTCCTGTGATGGACTGGTGGACTGTCCAGGATGACCCCGCCTCTCGCCTACTGACCACTTTGATAGGCTCCAGTCCCTACGTGGCCCCATTAGGGAACAAGTGGTAACGATAATGGATGGATGGATGAAAGCACACAGCTCATTTTCAGAGGTAGACCTGAACACGCCCTGCATAATTTGGGTGGGAATTTTTGGGCTTCTGTAAATAACTTCAGAGTACGGTCTAGACCTGCTCTTAATGAAAAGCGCTGTGAGATAACTGCTGTTGTGATATGGCGCTATATAAATAAAATTGACTTAAATTGAAACTGAATTCAATTTCATGTGTTTGAAGTGCGTTTGATGGTGGTGTCATTTTTTTCTGATTGAAAAAAATACTGGTAAGCGTGAGGTAGATATGGCTGATGTACAGCTGCGATATTCCCACCCTGGCTTCCTGCTCCGAGGAACACTTTCCAGTAGCCAAAAGGCACAAGGTATAGAGCTGCTACACATGTGGTGGAACAGGGCTGGACCTCTGTGTCACTGACTACAAACTACCTCAAAGTCCATGAGAACTGCGTTTGGGAGCCTAAAGAGTCCAAATAGGTATTAATCCCTCTCAGTAAATAAACGGTATGTTCATGACAGATTTACTCCCTCCATAGGGTACCATTAGCTAGGGTACCATTAACGTGTTGGTGCATTTACTTAGTTTTCAATAAGAAGTCAATTTACAAGATAGAAAATTACCAACATTTGTTTCAAAGAATCTGACAAAATATGGATTTTAAAAACTGCTCAGCAGTAGACAACTGAGATGCTTTTTTTGCCCTCAGAATCATCCAGGTGAGCTTTTCTGGGCACGCGGTGAAGGCTTTTCCTGCAGCCCCCCACTAAAAGTCCCACTTCTGTCTTTTTCCAACTGTACTGTAACCTATAAAGACCTTTAACCTATAAAGTTCTCACCGATTCCCATCGAGTCTGATTTGCTCTGTTAGATGAAGTTTCTCAGAAACGCACTTTCACTCCTCTGATCAATTTGAAATCGGGATTAAACCTATTAAATCTGAATTAGTCGGTGGGGGGGGGGGGGCTGAAGCCTCTCCCAGCTGTCACTGGGTGAGAGGGGGGGTGCAAACTGAACCGGTTATCAGTCCATCACACTGACAAATGAGACAGACCAAACCAGCTACACTAAGTCCCCCAATTTTCGAATGGGGAATAAATCAGCGTGATCATTTAAACTAGTCATCCAAACTGGTGGTTTTGTCTCTGTGCCACTAAAAGCCTGCCGCCCAATGTCTGCTCCATGCTAAATCCATCATTAGTTTGTACAGAAGTCGACGTGTTACCTGGGAAAAAGGAAGTTACAGAACCTTTACAGTTTAGCTTCCCCCATCCCCTCGCTACGGTGGCCAGGAGGTGCAAACCAACATCACAAATTTGGAAACCCTTTTTCAAAGTTTTAAACAAATAATCAGAGACAGTAAATTCAAAATATAATATTACATTAATATATTAAAGAGAGCACAGAAATATGAACTCTTAAACTCTTAACAGATTTCATATTAGTGTTTCCAAATTCTAATTCATGTTTGACCTCATTACTAAATACAAAAAATTGTGTTTTTTAATTAGTGTCTTGACTTTGAGGATGTACCATTTGGCTAAATATATAATGGTAATTTATTTTTATTCTTTTCAGTGATGGAAAGTCAATGAAGCCAAACAATATTTGCTGTATATCTTTTTATCTTATTTCATCTTAAGTCGTTCGAAGTTCCGACTGAGTTCCAAATTGCTCCCTGAAGTTTTTTCTCTTTTAATGTGTCTATTTGTATACAGATATATTTTGGTTTGTAAAAAGGTATTGAAAATAAGATTTTACTTCAGATTTAGAAATAAAGGAAATCTAGATATCTAATTGCCATGGGAACTCAATTGGGGATTTGAATATCCTGGTGTAGCATCTCCTTATGGAAGATATGTGCAGGTTCATTTAAAAGATTCTTTGTAGTCACTTTTCTTAGTTCTAAGTTATATATTTTTTTCGTATATAGTAAGTATATATATAAATAAACAAGCAAACTAATGCTTCTTCACTCAGATGACAAACCCACTGACAGGGAAGCAGCAGCCAACAAACCATCTGCCTTCCCTGTGTTTGAGTTCCAAATCCCAGTTATCAACACACCACACAGAGGACCTCCAGACTCCCCCCTTGAATGCACCACTCCCTTTGAGACCAGCACAAACTCACACACGCACACACACACACACCTCTCCCGGATCAGATGGAGGCGGGCGGATGGAGGCCAGGTAAGTAGCTCGCTTTCCATTAAATGCAACAGAAGAAGGAAGATGGATTTCCTCAAGTTCATTCACCTCGCACACCTCTAATCCTCTTCATCCCCTCTCTGCCCTCCTCTCCCTCTCCTCCCTCGCTTGGTGGACTGAGTTGGTCATTTCTGCTTCCCACTCCAAACGGCTTTTTTTTTTCTCCACACTTATCATCAAAGCGGTTTTATGATGCTTATTTCCCACACGTCACCATACGTCACCGAACATCAATAGAGATGAGACATGTTCCCTCTTTCTCAATCTCCCTCTTTATTTACCGGGAGGGCCACATATAGTCACGTCTTGCCTTACTTGCAAATAAAAACAGAGAAAAAGCAAAGGAAGACTCACCGTGAGGGGTCTGACTTATTAGCATAAACCCAAATGGGCAGTCAGTGTATGTATATATATCATCAAACGTCTCTAAATACATATCAGGACATTTGAATTAACTTTCCAACAAATGTATCTTAAATTGACCCTAACGATTCAATAAAAACATTGTTATCATGTTTTTTTTTCTTTTCTTAATGCATTCAAAGCAAATCCACAATCTCAGTTGAAGGCTAACACCAGCCGTTTGAACTATCATTCCCATTCACTAATCTGCACGTTTTTTTTTTTCCTCTCGCTAAAAGACTCATTCAAATATGTAACAGACATTTCTTTTATGTATTTTCTGACATTTTCCATGCAGTTGAAGAATGGCTTCAAAACCGCTAGGGGTAGGTTCAAACGTCTCCGAAATCTTTCAATGCAAACAAACAGATTAACTTCCAAAAGAATCAGTATCGGGAAAGCTCTCACAGGTAGTGTCGACAATAAAGGGAACGCAACGCACTCTCCAGCCCCCCCGAAGTACACACAGACACGCACACCTGTCTCTGCAATGATAAGACGTCAGCCGCCGCCGCCGCATCAAATGTGTTTGCACACCGGAGTCGGTTGGCTGCACTTCCTCATTGAACGACTTTAACAATTTATTCCGACGCACAGCTGAATCCGACAGGGAATTTAGATTGATACGAGGGGGAGAAAGAAAAAAAAAAAGCAGAAATTCAGACACAACCTAAAAGCCTCCAGGGAGAAAAAGAAAGAAGAGGAGAGGCCGGGCGGATGAGCCAGAGGGGAGAGACGGGGGGGGGAGATATATGAGCTTGTCACTTAACATTACAGCTTCACTACAGGCTGGACAATCATTAACGCTGCTAACGGGCCGCTGCGCTACCCACCGGGCTAATCTACAAAGACACCGATTTCATTAGTCCTGCTGGAGCTTTTATTTAAAAAAAAACACAAAGGATTGTCAATCCTAGTGCTTGGAGGAGATTGAAGTAGCCTAACAAAATGTTAAAAAAAACAGATAAAAGCTGAACATCCACCTCTGTGTCGTCTCTGTTTACTCCCAGAGTTCAAATGTCTGCTAATAAAAAATCGGCCTCTGGTCATTCTTGGAGAGCAAAGCTGTCGTGGAAAGGTTCGGAAGACGTTCCTGCGCCCGCCGCAGCACTCGTGTCATCTCGGGGAAAAAAAAAGGAAAGAACAATGGAAACCGATGAAGGCCTAATCTGTGAGAACGCAGGCCCACAAAGAAACCCACGCCTACATGTGGAGCTACAGAAGAGATACGGATGCCGGCAGCTCATTGGACAACGCTCAAATAATAATTACAATCTTACAAAAAGAGGGACGTGACAATATTTACAGGGACACAATAATGCAAAACCTTCTGTTTAAATTCCTCATTTAACTTCATAATGGACATATTTTCCCTTTGAACTGGTCACATTTCTGGATGCAGATTTACATATTAAGATGATCTATAATAAGATCCAAAGGAGGGGTCAGGTGAGCTCAGCCTCTGAAACAGCTCTGTCCTCATGTAAACAATAATCAATAATACAGAAATTTACCGATAAAAAAGGATTTTTAATTCAAAATGTAAAGGATCATTCGGTTATTACTTTGACACTCACTTTCCCTCATTTCAACCGTAAGCCGATTTCCACAATATCTGAATTCTGGATGAGAACAACAAAAGGGCTGGAATACTGATCCTTTTTTCAGCTTGATGATTCAGAGACAGGTATTCACGATGAGTTTGGAGGAAACACTGTGCTCAGCTCTCTGAGCTCCACAACAGATGCGGTTTAATGCTCTGCAACCGTCCGGAAACTTCCGGCTACACGATGTCCGTGGAGGCTGTTTCAAAGAACAGAATCTTTTTAGAAAGGCCAGTTATCTCTCTTTTTTTTTTTTTTTACAAAACTTAAAGCAAAGAGAGAATGCACCATTGCACTCATGGAGGTGAACTCCAGGGCTTCCTTTATTTTAATCAGCTCCTGATGAAGTGGCCATTCCGAAGCCGGAAAAACTGATGAGACGGATGAGAATTCAACCGTTTTTGGAGTTGCTCTTTAGGTAGGCCGAGGCCCAAAGGTCACAGGAAAAAGATGAAAGCTTCATCTCCAAAAATATATCCGACACTACTGAGTGCAATATGTTTTTTTAGATTAAAAAAAGCTATTTAAAGCTGTATTGTGACGTCTTTTCACGGAGCTGTCCTGATTTGGAATTGTGCATACTGTGAAAATGGCCTCTTAATTACAGTAATAACTCTCTTCATCTTCACATCTCTGAGGCAGAATCTCTAACTTTGGACTGGTTAATAACTCAATATTTTTTAAGGCAAAAGGACACGTGTAGACACTATTTCATTTCCGTAGCACCTTAGAGAGGATCATTTCAGGGATGAGTCCTGAGCCTCCATTCTTTTTTTCTCATTTTTCGACCGATTCCACGACAGGAAAACGTATTGATTTGGTTTATTTACTGACTTTTTGTTGCCATTTTCTGCATCAAATATTGCCAAATGAAAGAACTCCCAATACAGCAAATGAAAAACTAAGTTAAAGGATCACATTAAAGGAGTCTCATCACAGAGAGGCGACTGGTGTTTGCCTGTTGCCCACACTGTCCTCACAGCCTGGGTTCTAGTCCGGGTTTACTCTGGCTCCGTGGCTGTAAAGTTTTCAGCTCAGCTGGCAGGGCGTAGTCTGGCAAACCTACCCAGACACGAATGAAGTGTCGGGGATGACCCTCCTGGTCTGAGATGATCACCAAGGACGGATACAGCCTTAAACCCGGATTCACTGAATCCAGAGGTGAAAGACGCAAGAGAATAAAACACTGGAATAAAACCTTTCCCCCCCAAAAAAAGGGTTTGAATGGAGACTTAAAGAAACTCAGAACACCTGACAAACAGACCAGAGGTGAGACGCCTGGTTGAGCCTGACTTTTCCCTATGGAGCATCACTGCCGTTTAAGTTTCGGGGCGGAGGACCGTCGCGCCAAAGACTGACCCCAAAAATCCCCGTGACCGTCACAGCGCGCGCGCGCGTGTCACCGTGCAAAGCAGAAAAGAAAAAAAAATTATCCTACCTGGAAAGAGGAGAACGAGCACGATCCTGGCGAGCAGCATGTTTGCCGTGATCGGGATGGCTCCAGCCGCCCCGCCGTGCGCCCCGGTGGAAGACGCGCAGCCAGCCGCCGCGCGCGCGCCCAAACCGCCTCTGCCAGCGCCCGCGGGGGTCGTGCGAGTTCCCAATCCCAGAGATGGAAGGTGTGGGGGGGAAAAAACACCAAAAAAAAGAGATTCCTCGAGCGATCGTGGGGCGAATTGCGCACCGGGAGAGCGCAGGGAGACTCCTGCGTGCGCGCGTGCGTCTCAGAGCTGCTGCTCGGCGATGCCCATTTTGATGGGGGGGGGATGTGAGTCGTCACGGGCTGCGGCGGCTCTGCGCGCGGACCTTCGGCTCTCCGGGCTCGTGAGGGGTCCGGGTAAATGGTGTGATCATGATGCTGAAGGGCACGAGAGGCAGGGTTATTAACTTGTGACATCCCTCCTCTCTTCTTCTCCTCCTCCTCCTCCTCCCCTTAGATCTTAATGATCTTAACCTTTAGTGACCCGTCAGATGAAAATAGTCCTTTATTGGGTTTATTCAGGGGGGATCCAATTGTACCTTGCTTTTTTGCATTTATTGATACAGTATTTTTACTCCAAGAGTCTCCAGGGTGATTACAAAGAAGAGTACTGTCCTTAATTATTGATATTTGTTTTGTAGTGTCTGAAGCTCACAGTAAGGCACAGACTGCTCTGTTCGTTGAGCATAAACATTGGAGAAAAACACATTCCTAAAGCAGGGCGTAGGGAGGATGCTCAAGCTATGGACAAACTATGGAGACGTCCTGGGCGAGGACAAAAAAGGAGATGTTCATGATAGGGACAAGGTAGACCCTAGATGTACATCTGGAGGGAGACAGCCTGAAGCTGGGCCTAAAAAGGAAAAGGTTTTTGATATGGATAGACCCATATTCGGGCAGCGCGCCTTACGTAAGGCCAAGAGTAAACCAGATATAAGGGCAGACACACCCAGAGTGGGACAGAGTTTTCTCTGAGACATCTCCGGACTTGATACATCAAGCTGTACTTCTGACTCGGACCTGGCTGACAATAAACTCCTCTTTGTTCGACCAAGTTCTGCCTCAGCAGAGTTTTTCCTGCAGCGCCTCCACTTGAGCTTTTTGAAGACGACCATCCCATAATTCGCCACAAACTTGGCGTCACGAGCTGAGAAGTTTTTGCTCTGCGAGTCAGCTTTCGCCCGCCCGTCCAGCGGGGCCTACGGTCTCTGAGGGTGAGTTTTTCATCTATTCATGAGAGCGATGGGCCAGGCTGGATTGGTTGGGTGGATTCTGCTTTGCAGTTGGACATGATGAAATTATCTGTGCGGGAGGTCGTCCGCCAAGTGAGGTGCTTCAGCAGCTCTGTCTAAATTACTCCGTAGTGTTTATAAGCAGCTGCCAAAGGGGGTGCTGTGTCGGTAAATAGAACTGCAGTTGTTGTTGTTGAGTATAAGTTTAAGAGTTTGAAGTGACGCAGAGAGGCGCACTGGTTTAAGAGTTTTGCGATGCAGACGTGCACACCGAGTAGTGAAGTAACGGGTCCGTGTCAATAATACTAAAGAGCTATGCAACCTGAAGATGTTGGATCTTGTCTGTCTGCTGGAATTTACGTTGTATTAGTTTTAGAGTTTGTTATTTTTCAGTTGCGCAGAGATTCGCGCCAGTTAAGAGTTTAGTGTTGAGGCGATGCAGACGTGCACGCATGAGTTGTAAAGTTACGGGTTCATGTCAATAGTGCTAAAGAGCTATGCAGTCCGGTTGATATCATACAAAGGAACTTATTAAAGGCATTGAGAAAACATTAAAAAAATGGAGTAAGCGGTGGCCGGATATAGAACAACCTTGGCCAGAAAAAGGAACTTTTGACCTGGGAGTGATCTAAACCATTCAAGTGCTGGTGTCCTCACATAACGCTGGTCAGAAAAAGGGAAAGAAAGGAAAGGAGCGTGGAGAGAAAAGAAACATCGCGCTTGGTGTCTTACAGTTGTTTCGGGAAGAAGGACAAAAATGTCAACAGTCGCATACCAACAAACAAGAAAACATCCAAGAAGAGATTAAGAAAAATTCTGAAGCAACAAGTAAACTTCTGATGGAGGTTAATAAACCTTTTTCACACACCTCACCGGTGCAAAATCCCCCTCCATACGAGCCAAACACCAAATGCGTCGACATTTATCCTCAGTTACCAGTGATCAGCCAAGAAGGTGCATACCACATCGAAGATGAAGAAGAACGCATCATAGAGACGGGAAAGGCAAAAACAACCATTACTATGTATCCCTCATCCAAAAGCAAAAGAGGAGAACTTCAACGAGGCCAGAAAAAGGGATATCAGCAGACAATGGATAAAAGAGCACTTAACCAAAGTGACTCAGAAGAAGCCCTAGGAGGATATGATCCAACCATCAAGAAAATATTGGAGAAAGCCGAAAGAAGAGGAAGTGGTCATTGAAAAAAGAAAGACACGGTGACCTTTGACACCAGTGGAACAGACTCCGACAGCAGGAAGGGAGACTCAGATGAGCCACACTTCATGGGATACGACCCATATGTTACATCGACAACGGAAATGCGACATCTTCAACAAGCTTTAAGGACGATTGAAGCAGAAAAAGAACAATGCCGCTCAGATCTGAGATGTGCTATTAGCCAAGAAAAACAAGAGCATCTAGAAGAAAAACTCCAAGCACTGAAGATCACTGAAAAAGGACTGCGAAAAGAGAAAGCTTTACAAAGTGGCCATGGCATATATAATTTGCGATCAAGGAAGATAAAGAAGATGACCCCTGTATTAGTGCGAGGACAGAACCTCGAGTACAAACCATAGCAGAACACAGACATGACAGACATAATTGAGAAGTTACCTATCCTACAAGATGGAGCCCATCCATTTCGAAACTAGAAGAGGCTTTAGTGGGGACTCAAGCAGCCATGGGAGACATAAAGAGACTCCTGGCCAACCTTCTTGGAGTGCCAACTATGGAGGAAATTTTGGAGAAGGCAGGACTGCGTAAATATGCTGTTACTACAGTACATGATGCAGATCTATTTGTGGCAAATTGAGGAAGAATGTGGAGAGCTCTGAGAAAGACATTTCCCACCAACGTGCACCCAGACAACATCATCATTGAGCCCATGGGGGAACAGGAAAATCCCAGAGCCTATGTGGCACGAGCACATCTAACTTGGAGAAATGTCACTGGAAACTATCCTGATCAGAACCAAATGGAGCAATCTATTTTACGAGCCAAATAACAGGAGGGATTTCCTTTACCAGTTAGGAGCAAACTGGCTGAAGTAGTCAGACTTGTAAGTATGACCAAAAGTGTCTACACCGATCATGTGGCTCATCAAGTCGAGCGACAACGAAGACCAGAGGAAGCAAGACCAAGAGACAATAAGGAAACTCACACAGATACAACTGTCAGACAACAACAAGACAGAGAGAATACAAGCCATGATATCACAGATATTCAGAAGACTCAGGTTGGTCAGCCAATGCATGGTTAGAAGAAAAACTGGGGCCAATGGGGGCCTTGTTGGTCCAGATTGTGGCAGCACTTGTTCTGTCTTTATGTGTCATGTTTTGTTTTTGCACACTCCTGCTGAGCTTCGCCAATGCCATGATTCTACGATGGGTCGGAGTGGTGATGCCGGAAAACCAAGCCCAGATGCCACTCTTGGGGACGAGGTTGAGCGATGACGACCCTGGTGAGCCCGTCATGGACATGTATCCTCTTTAAACCAAGGGTCCCAAGTACTGCCGCAATTCCTCTCAGCCATTTGCCAATTTCGGACTCTGTTTGGATGTTAGTTTTGGATGTTTGAGATGCCTAAGTAGGAGTGGACTGCCATTTTTGTTGTTTCAGTTTTCTCCTGTTTCTATCCAGTAAGGGAGGTACAAATTTGTATTTTGGTTATTTTCCTTTGCTTAGGTTAGTCCGATTCAAGGTAGACCTGTTTTGTTTGTTATTTTGGCCTTGGTCCACTCTGAAGTGGCAACACCTTAGGGTGGTCAATGTTCTGACCACCATTGTCACCTTTGATTTAATTTCTTTTGGTTCTTATTTTCCCTTTTATTCCAGTGACCGTATATACCTATTTACTTAATATCGGCCTTCACCGTGAGTTCCCACTTGATTTATCTATTACTCCATTGTTAGTATGAATTTGTCATTAACCTTACATTGATTGTCCATTGATTGTATGCAGTGGTGCCGCCAGTGGACGAGGTGTCCCGACTCTGGAGGAGTGGTCCACTACGCCTAACAGGGAGATGGGTGGTATGTCAGTTATGGGCCATAGCACAGGAGAGGTAGACGATGATTACACAATGCTTACACACAGATATAGGTACACAGGAGGAGCTTCTAGCCAATTTGATGTTTATCTACTGTAACATTATGTAATCCTTTGTGTGGCCTATTATATCCTTTGTAATCCTTTATTATCTTTAGACTGTTAGGGGCCACGTTTTGTGGTCATACTGAGGTTAGCGTTGTTTGCGGGACCATATTGGCTTCCTGGTTCTGCTAAATTAGTCGATAAAAGTTCATGGTAATTGGTAGTTAAGTACAGGGTTTCTTGCTCAGTAGAAGGGGTGAGACTCCTTTAGACCGTCCAATCTTTTTCCCCACCCTTTAGATAGGGCGGGTTTTTATTGAACGGAGGAAGACTGGCCTGTGCTTTCCCTACAGTGGACACACAGAATTCATGTGGAGTAAAAGACATGGATGTTTTTCTGTGTGGGGAGTAAGTGGAGCTGTGTGGCTGGAAGGGGAACTGTAGGTTGGTTTAACTGTAGTTTGATGTGGTCTAATTAGTGTGTAGAATTAGTTTACCTAATTTAAATTAATTAAAATAACATGTGCATAGGTATCAAACTAGGACCCTAGTCAAATAGTTGTCCCATAAATTTATAATTAAAAAGTAATTAGATATCATAGGTTTAAGGTGTCGAATGTGGAGGTTTTTGTTGACGCAGGTCCATGTATGGTTTTGTTAAATTTTCTTAAGTGTTCCTGTCTGGACGAACCTGTTCTTCATCACATTTTCTTTCGGGACTCTAGGTAGTCCCGAAGGGGGGAATATGTAGTGTCTGAAGCTCACAGTAAGGCATAGACAGCGCTGTTCATTGAGCAGAAACATTGGAGAAAAACACATTGCTAAAGCAGGGTGTAGGGAGGATGCTCAAGCTATGGACAAACTATGGAGATGTCCTGGGCGAGGACAAAAAAGGAGATGTTCGTGATAGGGACAAGGTAGACCCTCGATGTACATCTGGAGGGAGACACCCTGAAGGTGGGCCTAAAAAGGAAAAGGTTTATGATAAGGATAGACCCATATTCGGGCAGCACGCCTGGACGAATTGAGCATAAACATTGGAGAAAAACACATTCCTAAAGCAGGGCGTAGGGACACAACAGACACCTTTCAAGCCAAGCAAGCAAAGCTATCCAGGTTGTTTTATGCATAAAATTAGAAATAAAAGACTTTGTACGATTATTAATATTTGTGTTTTAAATTGTTGTGAAAGGACATCAAAATGACCCCTATTGATATGAGAAACTATTTAAAAAGGTTGTTTTCACTCGATTTTGTGTTCATTAGATCTGCATTCACTGAATATTATGTTTTGTCATAATAACATTTTACTGACAAAGTGACTGATAAGATTAGATTTCACAAAATGTCACACACAAAATAATTTATCACAAAAAAAGAGGTTTTACTTTACAGGCTGAGAAGAAGAACAAGGTGGGAAAGGACCATAGACAATGTCAACGTTTAGTAATGCCGAGCCACATGATGGAGCAATAGACCCAACATGACCTTTAAAGGTTCGCTGGTCATCTTTTAGACACTCAAGTTTCTGAGTGTCTTTGATGGAGCAGAGACAGAGATTTAGATTTGATGCAAACGCTTGGTGTATGTTCAGTTTCGATGGGAAGACATGCAGTTCGCTTTTGACTTAGTTAGAGGTGACAGGCTTTCTGTACCAGTGAGGTGGTGTATAGCAAAGAGAAAAGGTCCCAGTACAGAACCTTGGGGGACCCCTTTGGTGAGGTGGTGCTCTTCAGTAGTGTTACCAAGCCAGGATACTTTGAATGATGGACCAGAGAGGTTGGATTAAAACCAGGAGTGCGCTCTCCCTGTGATGCTCCTCCTCAGGAGTACAGACAGGAGGTTGTCATGGTTGACCGTGTCAAATGTAGCTGGTAAGTGGGAGAAGGCCGAGTACTGAGGACTTAGCTGGTGCTCTGGCTGCTTTAAGGCTTCTGTCACAGCCAGCGGAACAGCTTCAGTGGAGTGCCCCCCTCTAAACCCAGAGTGGTTGTATCTAGGAGAGAGAGTAGCTGATAGTTCACCACCACCTGAGTGAAGAGAGAGGGTTTCCTGAGCAGCAGTGTAACCCAAGTTTGATTGAATGTTGTAAGAAATGTGCCCGATGTCAGTGAAGCATTAATGACAGGAATGACTTAGCTGCATTTTCTTTCTTTGATGCACAAGAAACAGGTCTATGACTGAACAATGTAGGTTATTCTTAAGCAGTGAGTAATGAAGAAACTGCATTTTAAAATCATCATATATGTCCTTTATTACATTTATACTCTTCATTTATCCCCGTCACTTTAGGTTGGGTAAAAAAAAGGTGAGAACTCCTCAAAAATGTGTCCTTTGTGGAAAATAAAGGAGGTAATGGTAAGATAAGATTCATAAGCAATCGCCATGAGGAGGGAGGAATTATCCAAAAAGATAATGTGCCAATCCTGAAGGGCCAGCCGTTCATACTGATGCGTTTCAAAAAATTAAAACTAGTTGGAACAAAGCACAACCTATAATGCCTTATATGGTTAAGAAAGGTTATCCAGAGGAGAGAACAGGTGGAATGGAGATTAAGGAGGAACCCTTTCAGAGGACACAAGGGGAAGTCCCAAAGGAGCAAGTAAGTCAATCCAATGATTATGTCATTGAATATTCTGCCTTCGCCTTGATGTTGGGTCATTTAATGCTCCTGTTTTCTAGTTTATTTTATCGATAACAACTGTATGCATGTTCTGAACAGTCACAATACAGAAAGATGAAACATATAATCAGAGGGTTTAAACAGCCGTCATACATTCTTTTAACAGATCAATGAACCAGATTTAGAAATTGCTTGTGTCTAGTCTCATTCATTTATTTCAGCATTTGATGAGACTTCATGGTGACAAAATGTTTGTGGGTAATTTGTGGTACGCTGTTTGTTTCAGAAGCTTCAGTGGTGGTGATGTGAAATGGGTCTAGAAGTTGTTGCGGAGTGGATTTGGTACGAAACAGCCTCGCTCCACCACAGTTCAGCAGTGAGAGCAGCGTAAAGAGTAGCCATAAAAGCCATTTTTGGCTTTTATGGCTGACCAATAGCCGTTAAATTCACAACACCCTCTCCCTTGGTGGTCTACCTTCATACGCTTTCCTTGCGTGTAATTTCTCCATCATTTTCAACATAATTATGGCATCTCGTACCGGACAGGGGAGCGCAAGAAGGCTTGAAGACAACCCCTGCACAGTATACAGAAAGTTAATTTCACAAACTAGAATCAGTGTGACCATTTTAACGATGCTGTGTTCAAACACATGTACACACACACACACATACGCTCGGTTTAAAACATGTGTGCTTCAACCTTGCACCATCAAGCAAATTACATGCCTCCCTGTTCACCCCCAGAGGTCATTCAACATCGCGGCCTGTTGGGCAACAAGCTGTTCAGCTAATCAGTGGAGAGCCTCCTCTCTCCGGGGTGAGACATATGGTGAACAGTATTAACACAACAACAAGTCACATCCAACTCAATATCACAATAGAAGCTTTCTAATGAGAGCATAAATCTCTCTTTATGCACATCTGGCTCTATCACGAGGTTCTCTTGCGACACTGGCTGTGGGGCCTATATTTACAACTAATTGGCCAAAGTGGGATGATGATGATGATGATGATTATTATGATGGCCATTTTAGTGGTGTCATATGTTTGGCAAAATTCTACCATTACCTTTAACAGGGGATGGCAACTCCACATCAGACCCCCATCATACCTGGGCCTTCTCTCATGCGCTTGTAGCAGTGTGAGTTGTGCAGCTTTTTGTCTGTTGTAGAGGCACAGTTTTTACCGGCTAAAATAGGTATTCATGGGAAGACTGACAAAATCATGGGGTCATTGAACTTGTTGGAGATGTGGTTGCGCGTACATGGCAAGCGGAATAAGGCTAAGCATTTTTGGCCACAAAATATGAACGACTGAATTACACAAAAAAAGGTTTTGAAAGATCAGTGAGGTCCAAACTCGGCAGTCTTTTTTGCTGAGCTGAGAGAAGGAAAAGGAATTACAAAATTGTCCCAGAAAAATCTCTGAGTTTCCTGAAAGTCTTTTTGTGTTCATCACCATGCCAAATCAGAAGTGTAACTGTTAACTTATAACGAGTCTATTATACTAATGTGTAATGTGGCCTGCAGCAATCTAGACCATCTTTCGTCTCTTTTTTTTTTTTTTGTTGGCCCATTTTCATTTCAGATGTGACCACACGACATGGCCAATTGGACTCTGTGGACCCAATCAAATAAGTTAAATTTGTTTAACTAAACAAAGAGAATCAATCAATATTCAGTCGTCTTTTATTCGAGGCTCTGATTTTGGCTTTGTATCCTCACGGGGGCAACAGCACCCAGAC